GTCATGTTATTCTGGATTCACTATATTTTGGATATTCTTCGCCGAATAGTAACGTCCACGAATTGTTATGTTTTTTGTTGAATAAACTTTTATTAAACTAAACTGTGATTTCTTTACGTAATTTATGTGCGAAGAATATCCAAAATATAGTGAATCCAGAATAACATGACTAAGTGTATTATACAGTACTGTATTATACTGTAAATGATATAATATGTATAATATTGTAATATAGGGCACAATCAGTAGTGATTAAGGATGGAGCAAATATATATTTCACAAACGCTACTATAAAAGATTTATTGAGTTGCTCTCATATGTATACGGAAATCTGGTAAACTATTTTTCTGGAATATTATGCTTACTCCGTGATGTTGGCTTCAATGTATTGCTGAAAACATATATTCCAGAAATATAATTATCCAACTTTTTGTAATACTTATTCTATACATACAACACTGTGTCAAATATTGACAATATTTACTAAAATTGGACAAAATTCATTTAAACTTATGTGATTTTATCAATTTATTTTAAATTTGTTATAGAGTAATTATTTTAAGAACTAATTTTTAAAAATAATCATGTAAATGTAGCTATATCTAGGAAAATAATCACTATTTTAGTTTATAGATAAGTTAATAGACTATATTGCCCTTAGATTAGCATTAGTTTCTAGTTCTTAAGCATTTTATGTAATACACAAATAATACATATGTGTAATAATACATACATCTATATGTAATAATAAATTGCAAAATTCTTTTCATGTATTATCCCATCCCTAGTAGTGATTGAGTGCGCACTTCAACGAACTATACGAGCCCTCAATGACGTCGAGATCGTCAATACATCATAACTTATAACTTGTATTCAATAATACAATAAAACAGTTATAATTTATCATTGATTGTTCAAAAAGTGTTTCAATTTAACAAATTTCCCCAATTCGCCCCCCAAATTATATGCCCAATTGGGCATGAAATATATATGCCCAAAATGCCGGGCATTTATGCCTAGGCATATGCCCAGTGGGCATAATGCCTAGTAGGCATTTTCAACCGTATTCAACACTGTGTCAAATTTTAACAATATTTACTAAAATTGGACAAAATTCATTTAAACTTATGCTATTTTATCAATTTATTTTAAAATTGTTATAGAGTAATTATTTTAAGAACTAATTTTAAGAAATAATCATGTAAAAGTAGCTGTATCCAGGAAAATAATCACTAATTTAGTTTATAGATAAGTTAATAGACTATATTGCCCTTAGATTAGCATTAGCTTCTAGTTCTTCAGCATTTTATGTAATACACAAATAATACATATGTGTAATAATACATGAATAATACATGTATATGTAATAATAACTCTTTCCATGTATTATGCTATCCCTAGTAGTGATTGAGTGCGCACTTCAACGCACTATACGAGCCCTCAATGACGTCGAGATCGTCAATACATCATAACTTATAACTTGTATTCAATAATACAATAAAACAGTTATAATTTATCATTGATTGTTCAAAAAGTGTTTCAATTTAACAAATTTTAAACAAATTATCATTTAATGCACACAAAAAACCATTGCTTAACTAATTTACATATAATTTCAATGTTTTAATTACTTCGTAAAAACTTTTCATTCAATTTGTCTAATGTTTAAATATTTACAAAACTTTTGCAAACAATTAATGCATTGAATAAATGAACGAATAGTTAACGAATTGTCATAAAAAAGTCTAATCAAACACTTGTGACGATAACTGTTATATAACTTATAAGACAATTACGATAATAGCATTGAATCCATCGTTGACTTGAATTTTACAAACTTCTGAAATATTATAAAGAAAATGACAGAAACAGTGATATATTTATTACAATTGATAATATATTTTAATTCAATAATCAATACAATTTAAATCAAATAGAAATCAATTTTATTATAATTATTAATGTATAATATTATATATATATTGATAACCACTAAAATTAAAAATATTTTAAGATTCAAATATGTAATCGCAAAACAATTTATACTTTAAAATGAAAATCCACTTAAAAACTAAAGCATATATTTTTTATAAAACATAATTCTCTATTGGAAAACTGATTATTTCTGTTTTCAGAAATTAAATATAATTTTAAATATTGAATATTAAAGTAAAGAATGTAATAAACTTTTGGCACAAAAGGGAGCTTTAAATGAATTGATGAAATCGTGGTCTAACTAATTATAAGTAAAAAACTACTGCATCTGATCGGACACTAAAATAAGAGTGGATTACAATTCTCCTGAATATAAGAAACAATTAATAAAAGGGATAATCATAATAATAATTTCAATAATACTGATTATACATACAGTATATAAAAACAATCTTTCATTTTAAAACTGTTTCAAAAGCATTGCATTTCCATTTCAATCGCGTTTCACAGCTAAACAATAATTAGATTAAAAAAACGTCAATTTTGATATTCATTTCTATTGTGACACTCAATACAAACCTTCGCTGTAGACCTTATCGGCCAACCCTTTAGCTGATCCGACAGCCGATTGCAGAGCGCTGTCAACGGTTTGCTGGTTCTTCAAAAAGATGGGACGAATTACTCGCGAATATATATAATTTGAACCATTGTTTCGAATGGGAACGAAACACCAGACAAGAAACACAACCTGTAATTAATCACATATTATATAACACTTGCCATC